TGGATATGCATACAATGGAAGCTGAGGAGGAAATCATGGATCTCCCTGACCTACCACCTCCACCTTTCATTTTCCCTAACCAGAGTGACCAAATGCCACTGGGAGGTTGTTCGCCCCATCTGGGAGCTAGGACTGGCCCGGGTATCCAGCAGTGCTCTCACTCCCCCCGCTCAGCCTCACCACTGGTCAATCAAATTAAGCTATCCCCGAAACTATACCCTAAACCTCCGACATCACTTGACATTATGCAGAAAAAACCTTTGCCCTCAAAACCCTCCCCCAATCGTGCCTTCACAGATCCGTCTTCGTCTCCCAGACTTCCCCCAAAGCCAACCAAGTTCCCAGTCTCTCTATACGTCCCGGCATCTGCAGGAGATAGACGGCCTTCTAACACCTCACAGTATGACAACCTTTCGGAGGTTGACGAAGATGACCGTAGTGTAGAAAGAGTGCTGAGCTCCACTCCTGAGGAAATTCCTAGCCTGCACAACAACCCATCATACAACAGAGAATATGACCCTGCTGTGTACCCTCTGCCTCCACCTCCTGTCTACATGCATCACTCTGCTTCCCCTCCCTCACTATGTGCCCTTCCCAGTTTGCCACAAGAACCAGAATATGCAGGAGAGGGCAGTTGGGTGGAGGATCCTATCTTTGCCCCTCCTCCACCTAGTTTTGCCGACAGACTTAGTCCCCTCCAATGCACCACTGCCAGCTGTTCAGACCCGCACAAAGCCATGTCACCCGGTTATTCTAAGCCTTTCTCCAGGGGCCCCAGAGACCATTCTGCCTTCCCAGCACCGCTGTTGTACACCGGGTCACCTCCGGCTCACTTAAGATCCTCAGGACAGTCAGAAGTAGGAGTACCTTTGGTCCAGTCCAGTCCAGACTTTTGCAGGGTGCCTCAAAGTGGACATCAGTTGCCCAAGTCGGTGACATTTTAAAGTGTTATACAAATGTTACTGAGTTATTGATTTTGACAATATGCTTGGGATTCTCTGTTACTGCTTGTCTAGTTTTCAAAGACATTTTAAAGGTGAAAGGCCAGTAAGTTTTAAATTTGTCGTGTGTGTGCTCATGCTTCGTGTATAGATTTCTGATTCTTGCACCTTCTTTTATGGGCAGTGGTGTCAAATTTGTATTTAAATTCTGTTGGCTGCACAGAAAAAGTGTTAACTTGCCTGCTCTTGTTGTCATGTGAGAAAATGAGGTTTCAGTTTTTTGGATTGTAATAAGAAATTTTCAGACTGTTTGTCCATACATCCTGCGCATTTTACCATTGGTTTGTTTCTCTCTGTTTGACAGTGTCCCAACAAAGTGTCTTAACCTTATCATGGTGCACTGAGGGTTGCAACTCTAACACAAGGGCTTTGAGGCTGCCAAATGAGACCTTGCAACCAAAGCCTGTACATTTATGCTGAATTTATATCAAACTGTGAGCAGGCTCACATATCTAACAGTATATCAAACTGTAATTATTCTTTACAGAATTTTTAGGTCAGTACTTGATTTAAAAAAAGGACCACTAATGCAGTGCACAGGCAAACCTTTCAGAGAGTTTAAAGCTGTATCCACCAGCAGCAATATGGAACGATGTGATACTTCTCTGCTTTAAATACTGAAGTTTATATCACATGAAGCCTGGTCAGGTCAGCTATTTCCCAGGCAGGTAGCAGTGGGTACTTTGTTTGTCTTTTTAATTTCTTTGTTTGGATGCTTTTGTTTTTCAAAGTAATAGTTCCAGTCTTATCTGTTTGTCTAATACTTGATCTCACAGCAATAATGTACTGTGTATATATACATGCATGTCTCAAATTTAATTAAGGAAAGACTAAAATGAGGTTTTATTCCATCACATCAGCAGTTTCTCAGTAAAATCCATTGACACTTTATTTGAGAGTAGCGCCATCTAGTGTTCAGTGGTAGAATAGATTCAAAGCTGTCGGACTAAGACCGAGATGCTTTTTGGAAAACTACTTCTGCTTGTTAATAGTTCTTCCTTTTATTCTTGGTTATGAATGTGCACATATTCAGAGACTTATACATGAGCAAATCCCATATCTCACTGTTTAAGACTGATATAAACCAGGATGGAAAATTCATCTGAGTTTCTTCACATATTTTAGAGCTATTGGTGATTTTAGTGTTTTATTTAATTGCTATAAGGACTTTTTTTTTTTTTTTTGAGAAATGGAAGTTGAGCCCTAATATAAAATACAAGGAACTACTGTATAGTCAAATATGTTTATGTTCTTAGAATTATGACATTGTATGTAAACATCAGTTTTAGGGTTTGTTTTGTTTTTTTTGCACTGACATTTGTTATTACAGACTTTGCCGTTCTTAATGTTTGTTTGTTTTTTTATGGAATTACAAATTCATGCTAAAGTCTTTGGTCTAGGTTTGCAGACTCACTGTACATTCTTGTCTAACAACTTGGACCTTAGCTCCCACACAAGTATATTTGGCTTGCTGGAGTATTCTGTCATGTGACCTGCCCACCAATTGTGGATCAGTACTCCTTTTATGGATCTGTTTGGCATCAGTGAGATTTGGGCTCAGACCAAAGCTTTTGTGCAGTTATGCAACTATGAGTTTTATAAAGAGACCAACCCCGGTTATCTGTTCCTTTTTTTCTCCTCTTTTCTGCAAAGACAATTCACAACTGCTTTCAGATATTTATTGCACACCCACAGTATCATATAGTGTATATACCTCAATATCAAGGTGCTTATATTAGTTTTGTTTTTGTTTTTTTATACAAAGTAAATTAGGGCACAAGAGATTTAAATTTACACCTTTAGAAGTTCCTTAATATTAAATATGAAAGAAGAATATTCCAACATAATCCACTGATTCAACGCCAGCATCCTACATTACGTATAATATTCGTACTTCATATTTTATCTGCAGCCACCCTGATTTTTCTCCTGTTGGGTTAAACATAAATTTTAGGTATAAGTGCGCTCTTGTCTTCAACTTTGGTTGTTCTCGACAAAGCAGTTAAAGGCTACAAGCATCACAAGTTTTTATGTTTTTGCAGAAAGTTTCTGTACATTCATGTATCAAGTTGTGACAAATTGTCATTTTTACCCAGACAAAATGAACGGCTTGTCATAGATGTGGTTACTGGGAACACAAAATGCTGTCTGTACATCGACAGTATTGATTGATTTGCTATACACTGTCTGAGGAGAATGGATGAACAAATGCTGTGATTAGGTTTATATAAATTCAAAATAGAAGTAACGCCTGTAACCTAAAAACTTTAGTGCAAGGAGAAACCACATGCAACCTCAGCACAGACACAGTCCACCTGCTGAGGACGGGTAAGTAGCTCAGGTAAGTAGCACAGCTACGCCCACACCGCTCGTATCGTTCATATCCTAAGTTGAGCCATGAGGTTGGAAAGGGAGGTAACGCTGTTCCTTAGTTTGGAGTCTTCTTCCTGTCCCAGTGACACTCCAGCTAGGCGTGTGGAACCGTTTACTCCCATAATGCACGGCAGACTGAGGAACACCTCTACAGCTATGCCACCCCAACCCTAAAGTAAACAGAAAAGGCTTTTTTTAGAACGAGATAATCAATGACCTTTCCTACAATGCCCTGAAAGCATCACACACACACTCACTCACATTATTTGAATTAGTTGCTTCAATAACAAGCCACTTAGTGTTGCTACCTGAGCAAGTGTGGAGACAGAGTGCACCTTCCTCTTATCTGTCAGGACACTATTTGTAATGTCGGCGATAGAAAGACCCACCGACCATGACCGCTGGCCTCGATTTTTCATGATCTCAAAGGCTCTGCAGGCACAAATTAAAATAATAAACAATTTCTTAAAAAGAAAAATATTTACTTAATTGATCAAAATGCACTTATGATATTTTACAGTTATTATAACCTTTTGTTCAAAGTTATAATAATTCATTCAAGTACCTGTCTAACAGTGGTTTGGTAGAGCTGGATCCTTGGGCAATCTCAGGTGGTGCATTGGAGTTCAACCCAGAGTTACTCATCACAGCAACTGTGAGACAAAAACAGAAGCGTAATCGTTTGGATGACTGGTGTTTTTTTCCAAGTCCTTAGAATAGAAAGAAAGTACAAGTTGAACCGGTAGTGCAGCATTACTGCTTATGGTTGAAATGGTTGGGGGAAAAACAAACAAAACAAAAAAAACGTGAGGTGAATAAATGGGTTAAGACATATCTGTAAATGGAAAAACAGTCAGTGTACAGGTCAGGAATTCACTGAAGGAAAAAAAACAACAAATATTTAAATAGTCAGTCCTTTCTTTCTGGCTCACTTTTGTTATCTGAAAGTTCTCCTATGACCCAGGCTGGTTTGTGTGTGTTCAGGTTGATATCCATGACATGACTGAGTCGCTCCGAGTCCAGGTTACACCCTGCTCCGATCACATGTGTTGGAGGCAAGCCACTCTGCCTCCAGGCAACGTGGGCCATGATGTCCACTGGAGAGAGAGAGTGAGTGACCGTACGTGAGTTATATAATGAGCCAGCTGTCAGTAGAAGGCGTGTCTGCTGCTGTTACCGACCTGGTTGTGATGCAATTAGCATCACTGCGCTAGGGCTGAGACGTGCCAGATTGGGAATTATTCCTCTGTACAAGTCAACGTTGGTCTGTACCACGGTGACATACGACTGTTC